CGAGTCCAGGAATCGCTCCCTGTTGGCACGGCCCGTCTCCAACTCTACTCGCTCGGCACTCCCAACGGCATCAAGGTGTCGATTCTGCTGGAAGAGCTAGGCGTCGACTACGATGCCCACTGTACGATCCATCCCTCCTTTGAATCATGGCCAGTCTCACGGTGTTGGCAGGCATCAACATTGGCACGGGCGAACAGTTCACGAGCGGATTTGTCGCTCTGAATCCAAACTCCAAGATCCCTGCGCTTCTGGACCAAGATGGCGTCGATGGCGCCCCCCTCCACGTGTGGGAAAGCGCGTCGATTGCGCTGTACTTGGCCGAGAAGTATCAACAGTTCCTCCCGTCCAACCCCCGCCACAGAGTCGAGGTGATGAACTGGTTGTTCTGGCAGATGGGTGGTCAAGGCCCCATGACTGGTACCATGTCGTCGACGAATGTCGTTGACATGGCCGATAGGAAACTTTGGGCACTTTTTCGTGTATGCACCTGCGGACAAGGGGGCCGCCCGCGACTACGGCGTCGCCCGCTACGGCATGGAGACGCAGCGTCTGTGCAGCGTCCTGGACAAACACTTGGAAGGCAAGACGTACCTGGTCGGGGAAGAGTACTCGGTGGCCGACATGGTCGTGTTTCCGTGGGCGAACCAAGTGGACACGGGCTACATCCACTCGCCGTCGAGCCGTACAGCCAGGGACTTTTTGTCGTTTGACAAGTACAAGAACATTCACGCGTGGATGGCGCGGATTCGCAGCCGCCCCGCTGTGCAGCGAGGACTGGCGGTGTGCACGAACGGCGTGGGGAAGCCGTGGCTCCAATAACGGGTGAACCATGTCAATACAATGAGGTAGAAGCGCTCGGACACTGTTTGGTTCGTCGTGTAATCCTTTGTGGTCGAATGCCAGGCACAGCTTTCGATGTCGTTCGCTGTGGTCCTGCGCTTGACGAGCACGCAGCCAACTTCCCACGGAAAGTACAGTGCGCGCAACAAGAATAGAAACACCCACTTTTTGGCGGATATTTTTCGTCCAATTGCACTTCTGAATGAACGAAAAGGCGCAAATGCCTGCGTTTGATTGGTCAATTGCCTCAAAGTGTGATTTGCCGCCAGACGGCATTCAAATCTGCTCCAAACGCCGAAGTCAGCCAACGGACCCGCGCCATATAGATAGAAACAGACGCATATAACTCTCAGGTATGCATACAAGTAGGTACTAGCACACACATATGCTTACATAGCGTTCGTAGAACACGTGTCAATTGCAGATGTGGGCCACGGCGCGATACTCACTGAGATGGAGCGCGGGATGGTGCTAGCACTGCGAGCCCATGGAATGTCCTATAGGGCCATATCCAAAGAAGTCGGGCGGTCAATTAAGGCCATACACACGTTCCTTAAGGACGTTGACGCATATGGAAGGAATTTCC